CGTCGTCCAATCGCGTGCGGCTGGTGGCGGCGGCGGTGGGGGGGGCGTGGTTGGTGCTCGCACGCCTCACTGGGTACATTTTGTAGATTGACGAGCGGAGGGTCGGAGGTCAAATAAAAAAAAAGTTGTGGGAGGTACACTTCGCGATTGGGTGAGCAAAAGGTGATGGCTAGGCGAGAGGACAGACGGCGAGTTGGGCGAACGAGGTGTGGAAGACTGGGCGACTGACGTGATGGGGCGGGCGAGCGAGCGGGTGAAATGACGGGCGAGGAAGGAACGAGTTCGTGTGTGGGCCAAACGACGTGAAGGGCGAGTGGAACGAGTCGTCCGCTGGGCGAGCGAGACGACGGGCGGGCGAGGGAATGGACGGGCTGGGTCCGAGGAGCGGTGGGGGCGGAGCGAGCGGGAGACCTTGAGCGGGCGAGCAGACGGGCGCTCCGTAACTCTCCATGCCAGCCAGATCCAGGTAGTGGTTCCTGCGCTCCACGTTCTCGTCCGCGCAGCAGCAGTGGCGGGCGGTCGCCGAGCCCTGGGGTTGCCCGCTGTTGTGACGCCTGCGTGCGAAAAAATCCGATGTATTGGACACACACTGGACACATGCTGTGGACGCAACTGTAAGAAAAAACACGCAAGAGGGCACGTGGACACCCCGGGGCAGGGCCTCCGAACTGGCGGCAGCAGCAGACGGCTCGGCGGGCCCTCGGCGAGGCCGTGGGAAGCGGTCACCGCGGGGCCGCCGCAGACGCTGCGATCGTTTTCACGAAACGCCAGATTTATTACCGCGCGGGGGGGGCGGGGGGGGATGCAGTGGGATGGAGACTGGGGGGGGGGGGGGCGCGAAAAGGTTTTTGAGCGTCGGGGGTGGCCCGTGGCTTCTGAAATGTGGGAACCGCGCTGCCCTCGGGCAGATGGTTTAACAACAGAAAAAGGGGGGATGGACGACAAAAATCGATGGAGTGCTTTTGGACACCCGAGTTAAGAAGTAATAATTTAGCAACAACATCAAAAAGACGGAAAATGTTTTCCGGCTCTTTCCACTTACCAACTGCCGCCCCCAACGGCGCAAACGTCGACCCAATTTGCGGCGGGCCTCCGTCGGTTTGCTGGTTTAAAACGATTTGTTTACTTTCAACAAATATTTTTTTTATTTTACCAGATAAGGCCCGCTGAGCTGTTTCGCTCTTTTTCAGAAGCGACCTTTGCTATCGCAAATGATAGCAGTTCAACGAAGTGGCTCATCATCCCGTGGACATTTACGGCAGCCAAATAGTCTCAACGCGCGAAATTGATTCTAAATGTGGAGGGGAAAAACCGGAGGACCCGGAGAAAAATCCACGCGACTACGGGGGAGAGAGAGAGAGAGACACGCAGACTCTAAAATATACAACAGCAGGCGTCAGGGTCGGGATCGAACCCACGACCTCCTGTAGACCAGGCGAGGGAGTTAACATCTCCTAGCCACCGTGATGATGATGAGAGAGAGAGACACGCAAACTCCAAATATACAGCAGCAGGCTTCAGGGTCGGGATCGAACCCACGACCTCCTGCGTACCAGGCGAGGTAGTTAACATCTCCTAGCCGCCAACACCCAGGATTACCACCCGTGGGTTGCCGCGGGGAGGGGGGATGTCTCCCCGCCCGCCCTTTCCTGTCGAGGCGTCCGTGTTTTTATTGTGAATGTGTTTTTGTTTTCTCGCGACCGCCCGCTAATTGAAACCGTGCGAGCGTGCTTTGCCGCGTACCACAACGCAGGGTGCTCAGGCTGCTGCTGCTGCTGGGGCTCCTGCTGCTGCTGCTGAGGCTGCTGCTGCTGCTGTTTCTTCTCGGGCTGCCTGGCCTCCTCGGGGGTTGCCTTCTCCTCCTCCTGGCCATGCGACGGCGGCTGATCTGAAACACAAGCACGGAGACGCACGCGCGGACATGCGTGACGACTAACTATGACTTTTAATATTTTTTTAATGTTACCAGGTAGAGGCCCACTGGAGCCATGAGCTTCTTTTTCAGAATCCATCTGGCGATCAGAAACGACAGCTCACCGAAGTTGCTGAAAAATTGACGCGGAGATTTTTAGAGCAGCAACGCGTGACGATGATTCTAAACGTGGAGGAAAAATTCCGGAGGACTCGGAGGAAAAAAAAAAACCCACGCCATCACGGGGAGACATGCAAACTCCAAATATATAGCAGGCGTCGTCAGGGTATGGGGGAGTGTTACCCATCGAGTGGGTGGTGGGTTTGGAGTGCTACCCCTCAAGAGTGTGTGTGGTTGGTTTTCTCCCCCCAGGCTTCTGGGATAATCAGGCACTGACCCCCATGACCTGTGTGGTGTGGGTAGGCCCCTCGTTCAGCGGTGGGCAGGCAAAGGGGTTGTAGTTCGATTTAAAGCTTTCGTGACTGCAGGGATTCATCTTCTTGTTTCTTTCGGTAAAGTCACGTAGAAGGGAAGTAATAAAATAATAAAAATAAAACATAATAAAATAATTCTCACGACGTTTCGGCCACAACGCAAGCAGCCGTCCTCAGGTGAAGAACAGGTCTGTCAGGTGCTGTCTTTTTGACAGACCTGTTCTTCACCTGAGGACGGCTGCTTGCGTTGTGGCCGCAACGTCGGGAGAATTATTTTATTATGTTTTATTTTTATTATTTTATTACTTCCCTTCTACGTGACTTTACCGAAAGAACCGAGAAGATGAAAGGGGTTGTAGTTCGCGTGCAACATTGAAGTGCGTTGAAAGTTTAGCGGCGCATTGCATAACAAGTTGGGACAAATAAATTTAACTCTAGGGGGCCGTCCATAAATGATGTCACGCACAGGGGGGGGGGGGGTCGGACATTTGTGACGATGTGTGACGAGGGGGGGGGGGGGGGTTGAGAAATGTGACGTCACATCAAAATGCGCAACTTCAAATAAATATTGAATTTTTATAACAACACTAATTGTTATAACAACACTCCTACAACATCAGAATGCAGCGCCACATTAAATACGCACTACAATGACAATAGTTTAAAGCGATTTGAAGCATGTTTTATTTTCAAAATGGAAATATGGTTTTGGGGGGGGGGGCAGAGCTTTGTGACGTCATATTTTAGGGGGGGGTTTGACTTTTTGTATACAGGAGGTCGTCAAAAATCGCGTTATGTCATTTATGGATGGCCCCTAGGGTGAAGCGTCATCCATACGCTCCGAATCTGCAACGCTTCTTTCCGCAATGGGCGTTTATCCTCGCAAGTATTACACTTTCATTAGCGACGACAGCGATACGTTCCAGTGAGATGAGGTCACGCGCAAAGCTGTCACCGGGAGGGGAGGCACGTGTGTCACGTGTGATGTAGACGTATGACGTCACAGGAAGTGGTTGCCATCGCCTTGGCCACCAAGGCTAATTATTAGCGTGTGGTGCTTGTTCTGGATTATCACCAAGTTGCTGGTAACCACTTTTGCCAGTGTTCCTCTCGTGTGAGTGCCTAACAACAACATGACTTCATACGCTCGCTTGGCGTAGAGGAGGTCGTGGGTTCGATCCCGACCCTGACGCCTGCTGCTGTATATTTGGAGTTTGTGTGTGTCTGTCTCTCTCTCATCATCATCACGGTGGCTAGGAGATGTTAACCGCCTCGCCTGGTATACAGGAGGTCGTGGGTTCGATCCCGACCCTGACGCCTGCTGCTGCTGTATATTTGGAGTTTGTGTGTGTCTGTCTCTCTCTCATCATCATCACGGTGGCTAGGAGATGTTAACCGCCTCGCCTGGTATACAGGAGGTCGTGGCTTCGATCCTGACCCTGACGCCTGCTGCTGTATATTTGGAGTTTGCATGTTCTCCCCGTGGTCGCGTGGATTTTTCTCCAGCTCCACCGGTTTTTCCCTCCACATTTAGAATCCACACGCGTTTAAGAGTATTTGGCTGCTGTACATTTCCACACGATGAGCCACTTGGCTGAGCTATCATTTGTGATAGCCAGGTCGCTTCTGAAAAACACATTCCTGCGGAGGGAGCTGGTAGGAACGTTGGGTTGCTCGGTCAATGGCCAGGGTCAACGGCGGCGTGGTGTATTCCGCAAATATAGCCGACTGTGAGGGCGGGCACAAGCCGGCATGAGTAGGTTAAACGTTGAGTTTTATAAGGGCACCACGGGGTGACCAGCCCCTCCCCACCCAGTCCCACCCCTCCCACCCCCCACCCAGCCCCACCCTCCCCACCCAGCCCCTGCCCACCCTCCCCACCCAGCCCCACCCAGCCCCTCCCTCCCTCCCCACCCAGCCCCTCCCTCCCCAGCCCCTCCCTCCCTCCCCACCCAGCCCCTCCCTCCCCAGCCCCTCCCTCCCCACCCAGCTCCACCCCTCCCACCCCCCACCCAGCCCCTTCCCACCCTCCCCTCTACACCCAGCCCCACCCCTCCCATTTTTGGATGCACGACGGACGGACGGACGGACACAATAATCCCCTGTGGGCTGGTGGAACCAGGTGGTTCCTACCAGTAAGTGCTATATAGCTCAGTGGGGCCTTACCTGGTAGATCCGAAAGATTCGTTCTCAGTGAATATCGTCTTCACGAGAGTTACCGTGCCCCCCTCTACAGACAAGACAGACCGACTGGCCGACAGAGCTAATGCATTAACGCTTTTAACCTTGTTTGTAAAACGTATAAAAACAAACGCAAGACCGAGGGCAACCCACCCCTTACTTACCCACAATGCCGTGGGGCGCGCCACGCCTCCTCTGCTGCCCAGGGTCAGGGGTCACGGTGAGCTTCACTCTCAGGGTCTTGCTGTTGCCGGTGGAGTGATTGACGGAGGTGCCCACCACCTCGTATATCGTGTGCATCAGGCTGCTGATGTCCTGCAGAGCCCAGCACGCGCCGAGCACAAAGGCAAAGATCCCCCGGGGGCAGAATTGAACGGGCCCGTTGGGGCAAGTGCTACGCATAAAGTAGGTCTGGCCATCGGACAAGGATGGCCGTTGGCATCGCACGTTTTCAGATGCGCTTCTGCGGCCGTCTGGAATGCTCTTCCTTCTGATATTAGGAAGCAACTGGGAGCTGTGCGCTTTTAAATAATCGAGATTGAAAGCTCATTTCTTGAGAACTGCTTTTTGTGTTTCGTTTGTTGTCCTTCCCCCGCACCTCCGATTATCACGGTTGGCTACGTGCGGTGCGAAAGAAGTTAAACGTACGTACGTACATAACGAAGAAGGCCGGCAACGCGTATGCGGTGTGGCCAGCACCGCGCTTTTGGCCGCCTTGGCCTTCCCAATAGCTGATGGGGAGCTGGAGTGGCGAGCAGATCTCCCACGCCTTCTGTGCAGAAGCGCGTGGGTTCGATCACGGGCCCTGACTATGCCGCTAGTATTCGGAGTCCGCGTCGTCTCTCTCTCTCTCTCTCGCCCCGTGGTGGTTGCGTGTATTTCTCTCCGGGTCTCCTCTGGTTTTTCCCCCCCTCCACATTTTGAAACAACACGCGTCGAGATTATTTGGCTGCTACTACAATTCCCACGTGCGATAATGACGATGATGATGATGATATCTATTAAAATTAATAAAAGTAAAATAAAATAAAAATCACGACGTTTCGGATGCAACACAAGCTTCCGTCTTCAGGTGGAACCTACGTGACTTTACCGAAAAAACCAAGAATATGAATCCTTGCAGTCACGAAAGCTTCAAATCTAGAATTAGATGATGATATCGGTGAACAGCTCAGTGGGGCTTTACCTGATTAACAAAATACTTTTAACGTCTTAATTTAGTTAACCACGACTACCGTCCGTTTATTACTGGACATCTGTGAAACTACCGGGCATCTGTGAAAGTAGAACTTATAGCTCATCGGATTCCTCCAGAATAAATTGATTCTGATTACGGACCTCCACCGAGGAGATGGAGTGGTGGAACCAGCTCGTGTGGGTGGATTGTCGCGTTGCTGGTTCGCCAGAGGTACGGCGGCGGCTTGGAGGGGAGGGGGGGGGTTGGGGGCCTTCATCCAGCAGTGGATTGATCTTGGCTGATGGCGATGACGGTGCCTTTATCCATAAAAGATGTCTTTTTTTGGATTAGCGTAAATATAAACGTGTCGTTAAACCCGCCACCACCCGACACGGCCTATTAGTAAGGTTTGTCACGTAAACAGAATGTGCCAATTAGTTACTAGTACAGCACTAACCCGTTGTGTGTTGGAGAGTAAACCCAACACAACATTTACAATTCGAGTATCGTGACATTTCTCCGGGAACTACAACCAGCCTCATCAGGCGACAGCCAGAATTGTGCAGAAAACCTCCTGTTTTGGTCTTAATTAGAGGAGGTAAATTTGATGTCATCACTTGTTTAGCCAATCACGTGCGCAGACCAGAGGGGGGAGGGGGGGCGATTAATATAGTTATATAAATTACAATGGATATAAATATTGACTTAAAGCTTTCGTGACTGCAGGAATTCATATTCTTTGGGTCTTTCGGTAAAGTCACATAGATAGGTTCAAAGACAAGAACAAAAAACTACGACGTTTCGATCCCAACACAAGCGGCCGTCATCAGGAGGAAAAAAAACGATGTGATGGAAACGCCGTAGTTTTTTTTTTTCAACCTATCTACGTGACTTTACCGAAAGACCCAAAGAATACAATGGATACCTATTATTCGTAGTTTTTTCACAGTTCATAAACATTCATAGTGTGCGTACGATATGTATGCACGTGAGCAATTTTTGGGCCTCATTTTTGGGTCAGATCACCTAAATATAATTGGCATGTTTTGCTCACGTGACAAACCTTACTAATTGGCTGTCGGGTGGTGGTGGCGGCAGATTTAGCGACGCAAAAAAAACCCTAAATTATGGATAATATTGGTCGTGAAAGTCCTACTACTACCACCACCACCACGTGTTTAAAGTGATGGTGCCTCCTGTCGGCACGAGGCCCCTCACCTCTCGAGTGACCTTGCCACTGTTGTCGAAGTCGTACAGCGTGAACGTCCACTCCTGCCGATTGTTGTCCTGCACCAGCACGTCGCACTGCAGCTCCTGCTGGACAGGCGATGGGCTACAGGTCAAGGGTCATATATATGTCGATACTGGTCAAGGTCACCGATACGGGCCAAGAAGTCGCCGTGACTTGGCTCTCTTCATCGCCTCAATGCCACCTCGCCACGACAGCTGATCCATGAAGCTAAAGGCCAAGAGGTTTTGAAGGCACGGTCCCTCTGACGTCACTGCAACTCCTTCCCTTTGCCAGATTCCGTAGCTGCTGTATGGTTACGTACTCAACCTCCAAGGTCTGCTCGTTGAGTCTCATCGCCACCACCGCCGACGCGACCATCTGGCTTTAGGTCTTCTCTTCCCCATGGGTTGCCCAGCCTCTGGGTGCCCCTCCAAGGCCTGTCTCGAGGTGACCTGCCCTCCTCCTCCACTCTGCGTTCTACCCATCAAGGCTTCTTCGACGCTTACAATTGCAACGTTGTGCTGCCACGTTAAATGGAGCCCTGGTCGAATGCATGCATTCAAACCCGAAACTTGTTTTTATTTTACCAGGTAAGGCCTACTGAGCCGTGTAGCTCTTTTTCAGAAGCGACGTGGCCACAAATTATAGCCCAACGAAGTGGCTTATCATCATCACGTGGAAATGTATAGCAGTCAAATACTCTGAACGCGTGACGTTGATTCTAAACGTGGAGCGAATAAACCAGAGCACCCGGAGAGAAATCCACACAACCACGGGGAAAGAGACACGCAAACTCCAATTATAGAACAGGCGTCAGGGTCGCGATCGAATCCACGACCGCTTACTCTTAGTTCTTTCGGTAAAGTCACGAAGGTAAAAATGAAATTAAAATTAATAAAAATAAAAAATAAAAACAATAAAATCACGACGTTTCGGAGGCAACGCAAGCTTCCGTCTTCAGGTGAAACTGTCACAGCAAAATATCTGTATCAAGTGAAGAGAAGTTCCAAGAGGTGCGACCTTATATCGTGGTTAAGGGGGGAGGAGCCAGGAAGGTTTGCGGGGGAGGAGGAGTTGTGAAGTGGTCAAGTACTGATTTAAAGCTTTCGTGACTGCAGGGATTCATCTTCTTGGTTCTTTCGGTAAAGTCACGTAGAAGGGAAGTAATAAAATAATAAAAATAAAACATAATATAATTTTATTATGTTTTATTTTTATTATTTTATTACTTCCCTTCTACGTGACTTTACTGAAAGAACCAAGAAGATGGTCAAGTACTGCTTTTTGTTATGCTGCTGGGTGGGTAAATTAATTAAATACGAAAAAGGAGAATGATGTTAAACGCTGGGGATGTTAACACTCGGTAGACGACGACCTCTTGTGTACCAGGCGAGGTAGTTAACATCTCACCACCGCAGTGGTGCCAGCTCATCGCTCTGACCTCTGAACCACCTCGTCCACCTGAGCTGTTGCGGTTCGTGAGGTCTTGTGCGCTCAAATCAGCCAGCGGACAATTGATCTCAGCATTTGAATCTTCATATTCGTCTCAGTCTTAACCTTAGTTCACAGTTTCTAGATTAGAAGCTTTCGTGACTGCAAGGATTCATACTCTTTGTTTTGTTTGTCCGGTAAAGTCAGGTAGGTAAAAAAATAAGTAGTTGTTTTATTTATTTTTTACCTTTTACCTAAGTGACTTTACCGAAAAAAAAACAAAGATTAGTTCACAGTGTTAACGTCAAACAATTTTAACCTTGTCTCGTCATAGTCGGTCGCGCTTTGGTGGACAGCCGTTGATCGTTTTCATCCACTCACAGTCATCGTCGACTGAAAACAGCGTAAAAATAAGCACTTGGTTGACCAATGTCGCAAATTTTGTCAACAAATTCAAATCTGAACCCAGGGGGTGTGCCGATTCGCACCTGGAAGTTGAGGGCGCTGAGCGCGGCCTTGTCGGCAGGCTTCTTGTCCGTGGCATCGCCGCCGCCGCCGCCGTCCTCTGCTTCGTCTTCGCCGGGGCTCAAGGGAGTCTGCAGAGCTGCACCGCACGACCTCATTGAGTCATCGTCATCGGGCATTATCTATCCACTGCTGGACGCAGGCCTCTACGCCCTGAGCGATCGTCGCCCCCGCGGCCTCGCGATGCGAACGTCAATCTAGCAGCCGCACGCGGAGCTCAATTATTGTTTGCTGCTCCATCTCCACGGTGGACGTGTCCCTCTGGCGTGCGTCAGCCCCGTCAGATGTCACTCTGTCGCCCCTCTCGACCGCCGGGGGGCCTTCTAGCCCACGGCGCGTCCTTAACGGTCATAAACAATGTCTCGAATTTGGGTTCGTTTCTATCACCCATTTTTTTCTGTCTGTGCAATTTAAAGCACACACACACACGCACCCTCGTGCTTCTTTGTACACATGTATGTACGATGAACATCTGTCGCACTGTACGTAACCAACCGTGCAATCGGAGCTTTTATTTTATGGCAAATCCCAATGCAATTTTCCTACGGCAGAGTCAACGTCTGTGCTTTAGGGATCCTTATCTCAAAGGGCTGCTTCACAACAGTTACAACTCTTACTTGCACATGAACCTAAGCTTTCTGGCGCCTCTTGCTCTCGCATTATGTTTTCAGTATTTGTGATGCACGTGCGTTTCGCTACTGACTGTTATCGTTTGTAAGTCGTGCAATATTCATGATTTTTTGTCTTTCGTTTATTCTTGCTGCTGCTGTGTGCTCACGCGGCACCATGGGTGTCCCTTGTAAAATATTCAGGCAACTGGCTAAAGAAATCAAATGAGCGCAACACTCGAACAGTCACGTACGGATCTTTCAAATCCAACCACTTTATGGAAATGATGACAAAATGGAAAACGAATGAATGAATGAAAGAGTGAATGAAAGGAGTAAGGAACACTCACTGCTCAGGGACGACACCTCTTCTGGAAACAGCTCCTTCGCAACCCCGCCGCAGTAGAGAACATCCTGAAGAACACAACAAGTCACACAGACGGAGGTTACTTTAACAAATGCCATCCACAGTTTGTGTTTTCATTGGAATGGCCAAGCGAATTAGCTGCTACTCGGCAACGGTTGTACCCGTGCCCACACCAGCGGGAAGGCGATTACGGAGTCAAGGATGCGATGTACAGAGACCAAGGTACGGGAGAGGGAAGAGAGAAGGGAAAGAATGGGGAGCGAGAGGAAAAGGAGGGAAAGGGAACGGTGAAATGGGAGCAAAGAGCCGGGAGAGATGAGGATTGGGAGGAAGAGGCTACATCAGGGCCTACACGCTGCTGCTGCTGCGTGGAGGAGCGGAGTCTGTTTTCACAGTGGGAGGCGGTGGGGGAGAGGGGAGGGGCTCAGAGTGGGGGTGGCCACACAGAAAGTCACGTGATTGACAGGAGGCTTGAGCTGATTTCAATGTAGGTATAAAAGTAGACGAACGGTTCTTGGCCACTTTTTTTTACGTGCACAAATCCGTTTCTGCTAAACGAACGCAGATAAACATTATCCGAGTTATCAGCAGCGTCAGCAGCATTATCATCATCAGACGGCTTCATCAGCAACATAACTCGTTTATATGTCACCAATATCATTTTATGGACGAGCGAGTGAACGTTTTATAGTTTTTACAATGGGTCAAAATACCACAATTCTATTTGTGAGTCGTCTGCAACACACACATTGCAATTGTGCCAATGTACACAGCGAAGATAACTTCATAAAGTCAAACCTCAGACAGAAGTTTTAATGAAAAATGTAATGATAAAAAGGCTTTACCCTTTACCCATATATACAGGTGTTAAGATGTTCAAACACCAAGTATACAGCTATGACAGGTTTGCATTAACCACACAGGTGGTGGTGTATGTGTGGCAAAAGCAGACTTGATGCCTTTTAAAGAGGTGTCCATGTGGTGTCTGAAAATCTTAACACCTCCTGTGTCTTTGCCAGAAAGGGTGAACGCCTGTAGTTTATATCACTCAGTATCTTGATACTGGCAAAAGGGTCTCATAGACAGAGTTTCAAAAGAAAAACGTTACATATTATTGATTTTTTCGGTAAAGTCATGTAGAAGGGAAATAAAATATTTATTTATTTTATTATTTCCCTTCTACGTGACTTTACCGAAAGAACCAAGAAGAAGAATCCCTGCAGTCACGAAAGCTTGAAATCGAAATTTAAAAACGTTACAGTTCATTTTCGGACGATGGCAAAAAGCGCTCACAAATGTACGTACGGTATCCGTTATAGAGGTTTTTGGGTTAGATCGCGTGAAAATAAATGTGTCGTTAAACACGCCACTGCCTGACGCAGCCAATTAGTAAGGGTCGTTATGTAAATAGAACGTGCCAATTAGTTGCTAGTTCAGCACACCGGCTGTGTGTTGGAGAGTAAACCCACAACGTTTACAATTCGAGTGCCGTGACGTTTCGCCGGTAATTACAACAACCAGCATCATCAGGCAGACAGCCACAGAGTTGTATGGATGGTATGTTGAACTTTTTTCGCGGCGTACGTAGCCAACGATATTTAATCAGAACGTACACAACGAATAATATACAGCACTACACTTTGTCGTTGGGCACCAAGGTATGGGGCGGATATGCGGCGAAAATGTTGGGTATGACATCGTTATGGTGCTGTACTCATATCACAACATCGAAATGTCACCGTAACCGCACGCGAGTGCATTTGTAAAAATAAAAAGTGGCATTTCGTAGAAATTTGTACTTATTTTGCGCTTCGGAGTGCTTTACCGTCATTGTGGTCTTGAACGAGTGTGGCTGTGAAATAATAAAATAATACAAATGAAACATAAGAAAATACAATTCTCACGACGTTTCGGCCACAACGCAAGCAGCCGTCCTCAGGTGAAGAACAGGTCTGTCAGAAAGACAGCGTCCTAATGGACGACAGCCCTGTTCTTCACCTGAGGATGGCTGCTTGCGTTGTGGCCGAAACGTCGTGAGAATTGTATTTTTTAATTTTTATTATTTTATTATTTCCCTTCTACGTGACTTTACCGAAAGAACCAAGTAGATTAATCCCTGCAGTCACGAAAGCTTTAAATTGAAAAAGAGTGTGGCTGTGTCACAGACGGTCTAGCCGTGAGAGAACACGCGTGGGCCCACGTGAGGACGCTGTCAAGGCGCCGGTGACCCTTGAACCCCCCCCGCCCCATCTCACTACAAATCAAAAACGTCGCTTGACAATGGGGAGCCTTCAGCGGGGCGCAAGAAAGGGCCGTTTCTTTCTCCTTGAAAACGTTCATTTTTTAAAATTATAATTATTAATGTATTTCTTTTTGCGTGTGTGCGTGGTGTTGTGTGTGTGGTGTTGTGTGTGTGTGGTGAAGACAGGGAAGGAAACACAATCGGAAGACTTTGTTTCGCAGCGAGGGAAAATAAAAAAGAGTGGGGGGGGGGGGGGCTTCTTCTTAGCAATGTTTCACGACTCTCAAAAGTGGGTTAGGAAAAACAAATTCTGCTCAAATTTTTTTTGTAATATACATATCAATATACAATGTGCCAGCTTCCACTGAAAGGGACTTCATGGCGATAAGCTTGTAGTAAGCCTCGATCTAAGACCGAAGCGGGAGGAGGTTTTCTCCACAACTCTGGCCCTCGCCTGATGAGGCTGGTTGCAATTATTGGCGAAACGTCGTACTACAATTGTAAATGTTGTGGGTTTTACTCTCCAACACACCGGTTAGTGCCGAACTAGTAACGAATTGGCACGTTTTGTTTACGTGACAAACCTCACTAATTGGCTGTGTTGGGTGATGGCCGATTCAACAACACATTTATATTTACACAATCTAAACCCAAAAACCTCTTATGAATAAGCCTGGAGTAGGCCGAAAGGCCTCTCCACGCCATCCTAGACCCCCCCGTTGCCTTGGCGACAGGCGAAGAGGTGGCCACAAGGAGACTTAACAGAGAACGGACGTCAAGCCTCGTGGGGGGGGGGGGGAAGAGAGATTTCAATATTTTGTGATGAATGGTGACCTTATATTCACTCCCGCTGGCGGCGGGAGACAACCAACCACCATGGAGGAGATGCCGGTTGAGCGGGGAGGTGGGGTTTAAACTATTAAAAGTTTGAGGAACTAAAAAGTGAAAAAAAAATTATTGCTGTAAGAATTATGGACCTTTCAATTCGGGAACCCTAAACTATTTTTTTATTTTACCAGGTAAGAAGGCCCACTGCACTATTTAGATCTATGTTTCGGAAGTGTTGTGTGTACCGTGGCAGGATGCCCATGGCATAATAATAATAATAATACATTGATTATAATAGAGCCTAACAAATTATTGGGTCCTTCCTAGTGAAATAAATAAAATCTCTATATAAATTCATCCATCTTACGCGTATAGATCTTTGTGATAGATCTTTTGTGTCACCACGTGATGTTAGCGAGGTGGTGGTGGAGGGGTTGACGACAATAATCTTTGCCAGCTCATCTACCTTATCGTATCACGTCCAACTGGGTGTCTTGGCAAATCCCAAATGTAACCGACTTGTTTTGCCTGTCCTTGTAACACATGCAGCGGTGTGTATCGTAGACGCGGAGAGCTTTGGGGTCATCGGAATCGGCCGCCGAACGTCCGCGGTAAAGGGTAGCGATGGTTTTGGATTATAGCGATGATTTGAAAAAAAATATAAACGTGGGTCCTGTGCCCGTGGCAAAATATATTGCGTGTTCCTCAGTTCCAGCGGATCACACTCGGGCGTAAAAGCGGCGCACAGCGTGCACGCACACGGTGATTCCTGGATAGCAGGAGGGCACGATTGAGACCACAGGATCGATTATCCTGCCATGCCTTGCATGTCACATGGCAAAATCACCACCCCACGTGCACAAATATTGATTATTAACACACAGACACACAAAGTACACGCGTAACACAATACACGAACCTATACCTACGGACACGCACACACCTACACGCACACACTACTGTACACACTATCCCAGGCACACACACACACACACGGTGTATAAACAAAGACAAAGATCCCCCGTATAGCCCTCGCAGACTGTTGGGGCAAGTGCTGTTAGCGAGGAGCACCTATGAGGACCGGCACGGCACACGAGGGGGAGGGAGACCAGCACCACCCAGTGCGGATGTTTACGCACCGCACCAGGTACTCATTTGAGACTGAGCCGACCTAGGGGAGGCCCAAGACCTGTTCAGATAATCGTCACCGGTGGTTAGCCGTGAGTGGCAATCGACCAGAGCCGTCCACAGGAAGGGGGGCGGTGTGGGTGGGGGGCCCGGGGCAAACCCCACTGTGGGACCCCCCCCCCCCCGAAGCCTTCAAACTAAACCGGAAGTATTACACCTGTCACTGTGACGTGGAAGCGCGGGGACCCCCCAAAGCGCGGGGCCCGGGGCGGTCGCCCGCGATTCGCCGTACCCGAGGGACGGCTCTGTTCGTAGCGCAGCGCGCTACCCGCTACACTACCCGCTACACTACCCGCTACACTACCCGCTACACTACCGAGCCCTATGCCGACCCCCACACACACTATAGACACACACTACACACACTACACACACACTACACACACACACTACAGACACCCACACTACACACACACACCACACACACACACACACACACACACACCACACACACACACCACACACACACACTACACACACTACACACACTACACACACACACTACACACACACACACTACACACACACTACACACACACTACACACACTACACACACACTACACACACTACACACACACTACACACACACACTACACCACACTACACACACACTCCACACACACACTACACACACTACACACTACACACACTACAACACTACACACACGCATTACACACACTACACACACTACACACACTACACACACACTACACACACACACTACACACACTACACACTACACACACACTACACACACACTACACACTACACACACACTACACACACA